AACCCTAAACCCTATATCCTAAATCCTAAATCCTAAATCCTAAATCCTAAACCCTAAACCTAAAACCCTAAACCCTAAACCCTAAACCTAAAACCCCAAACCCTAAACCCTAAACCCCAAAACACCAAACCCTTAAACCCTAAACCCGAATCCCATCAGCTCGGGTCGGCGCCGATCCTTCATGCGGTCGAGCTCGCCGAGCTGGACCTCCTCTCCCTCCTGGCTGCTCGAGATGGACGACAAGGTCGTCAATGTGCTATTGATGGTAATTTAGGGATTCATGATTAGAATAATTAGGGCTTTGAGGGAACCCTCAAAAAAGTATTGGAAATTGTTTAGACCCCCTATAGTATTGCTGCGTTGCACTGATTCAACATAGCCGTTGTAATGGTGCTGCCACTGACACGACGCGGTGCTCTGACGAAGATGGGTGCAGAGTTTGAGACATGTGCACGATTGGTTGTGCATGCGCATTTGTACTGGAGAACACATGACTCGCATCTACACGTGCTATGTATATATCCATGCATACAGGCATGGTCGATCAGATTTTTCAAGTACAGCACTGAACTTGGAAAATGTGCATACATGCTACGTCCATGGAGCAGTGCCTTGTTCCACAAAACCGGTCGCATGAAGTCGTCGAAGGCCGTTCGGTCGCTGCGTCGCCTTGGCTGCAAGTGCTTGTCCCGCCCCAGCGGAGCAATAGCACCAATAACAACCAAAGTGAAAACATGATTGCTGTTGACAGTTGCAGCAGGCAGTAGTAGCAGCAGCAGGCTGAAGAGGAGGAGGACGAGGACGACGAGGAGGAGGAGGAGATAGTTGGTAAGTAGTGGTGATACTCGTCGTAGTCATCGTCGGCATAGTCGTCGTCGTCGTGGTGGTAGTAGTAGTAGTAGTAGCAGCAGCAGCAGCAGCAGCAGCAGCAGCTGCAGCAGGAGTAGTAGTAGTAGTAGTAGTAGTAGTAGTAGTAGTGGTAGTGGTAGTGGCAGTAGTGGTAGTAGTGGTGGTAGTAGTAGTAGTAGTGGTGGTGGTAGTAGTAGTAGTAGTAGCAGCAGTAGTAGTAGTACTAGTAGCAGCAGCAGCAGCAGCAGCAGCAGCAGCAGTAGTAGTAGTAGTAGTCGTTAGTCCAGTGGTAGGAACACGAGGCAGTCCTATTCGTACTACTCCAGTGCAACAGGCACCGGGAATGTGGGGTGACACCAAGTCATAATTCGGAACTTACCCGAATATGATAATCACATTTGAAGTATACGTCGCAGCAGTAGTAGGTTTATCAAAGGTCGTAGCTGGCGGCACGATGGTAGGCAGACATAGATGGACGGACCCACGGTCAAATGAAAACAATGCCATGAATATTAGATGCCTAGGCAGGTAAGTAGCGCCAGACAAACAGACCCCGTTGCCGACGGATAGACAGAAAGAGCAGATTGAAAGAGAGAGCAACAGCTAACAGACACCGGCCTGACAGCTGAACAGTAGGAAGACTGCTGGAGAGACTGCCGGTCCGATAAGGCCTAAAAGGTTTAAAATAATACGTACTGTAGGGGCCTAAATAATTAGAATAGGGTCTTAGAATAGGGTTTTGGGCCACTTTACAATTCTTCTAAGAAGCCATAAGGAATAATATGGGCTAATTGTTTAGGCTTCTACATGAATGCAACTCCTCTGGGTTCCCTCGTATATTATGTCAAAACTGCAATATACCGATGTGCCCGAGTAAGATGTTCCAAATCTAATTCTTAAGGCCCCTAAAGTATACGCGCGCATGTTTTCTGAGGCTCAAGCAAGGATGGATCGTCCATACTCTGCGGGGGACCATACGGATAGCACCGAGATACCTGCCGGAGCCCACATTTCCAACCGTTGCAAGCGGCAGATTGTGCGAAGATCCTCATAAACTGCATGATCCCTAAGGGTCCATGTACCCAAATAGTAGAACATTGGCCTTAATGTAGTCCCTATATGGGTACTTTAGGGCCAATGTTCTACTATTTGGGCACATGGACCCTTAGGGGATATTAACAGGAATGTTGCCGTGAGGCCTTGAGCCTTCATGAGGGCAATTTGACAGATGATAGAATCCCCAGCAAGAGCTACTATCATAAAGTCAACAGCACATTGCAGACCCTACTCCCGCAACCCTGAACCCTCAACCCCAAACCCTCATCCGCCAATCCTTAGTTAATTAACCCTTAACCCGAAGACCGAAACTTGGCAAGAGAGCTCTCCAGCCCAGGAGCCTCGGGTACAATGCATTGGCGGTCCAATCGCACCTCCACTGCGCAACAAGCAACATTGCACAATATGTGAGTCGTTCTCAAAATTAGTTGGGTCCCTTTTAGGGTCCTTTGTGTAAGGGTGCCGTACTACTCAAACAGGGACCCCAATCTTGAGAACTTCCCATGTAGAGGCCTTAGGAATCAACATGGGGTTTTGGGCTGGCTAGTGTCGGATGTCGGGCTTTCAAAGGCGAATCTTAATACCAATTAGTCGCTCTGACCTCTGCAATAATCTCCCTACTACCCTTTCTTATGGCCCACATGCCCTGCATTTACTGAGGGAAGACAGAGACCTGAGGGCCTAAGCCTTGAACTCATCCATACCCATAGGCCCTAAAGTAGTTCCTTTTTGGGGTTCATATATAGAATCCTAGGCCCTAAAGTAGTTCCTTTTTGGGGTTCATATATAGAAGCCTATAAGGTAACCGGAAATCCCAAAAAGGAACTACTATGGGGCCTATGGGTAGTCTACACTTGCTAAGTCTGCTACTGCAAAGTCTGACAAAGGAAGAGTCAGAGGGAAGATCTTCGTTCGGCCTTGACATCATCAGTGTCAAACCTAGCTGTAAGGATTGCACCAAACCTCATGCTGCTTGAAACAGCAGTCAGCAACGGCTGCCTAGACAATCATCCTACACCCTCAACATTAAAAGCGAAGTTCCTAAAGCCTCTTTGAACAGGTGGCGGTATCCATCTAGTAGAAGTATAGGGATCAAAAGACGAGAGGTCTTCAGAAAGTCCTTGATGTATAACCTCGGATCTTGGCTAGGCAGCGTGCAGCAAGAACAGCTACCTACGGCAGGCCCGGCAATGACTCCGAAAACCCCCGACCCCGTTCACCAAATGTCGCCCAAGTACGGCGTTGACATATCTGTTTGAGTTTCAAGCTTGTGTCAGGTCGCTTCGTGTGGCTGACCCCAAACCTTAAATCCGAAACCCTGGACTCTGAACTACCCATAGGCCCTAAAGTAGTTCCTTTCTGGGGCTCGTATTTAGAATCCCATAAGGCAATCCCCAAAGGGAACTACTTTGGGGCCTATGGGTACATCGCCCAAACTAAATCCTGACACTCGCTTGATTCTAGCACCCCAGCCTGGCTCGATTCAGAGAAGCTTCAAGAAGTAAAGGGGCCCTAAGGGTAGGCTCGAATTTTGAAAACATGGGATCCTGAGTAATTACAAAGGATCCCCCCATATAAACAAAACCAGAATCTAGGGAAAAGGGACAGTAACCCACCACACAGCCGAAATAGACAAACTTTGAACAGAAACGCCTACGGTTTAGGGTTTGAGTAGGGTTTAGGGTTATGTGTGACCCCGCTAAACCCTAAACCCCAAAAGCCCGACGAAAGACGTGCTTTTTGTGTGGTAACTGGGCTCCTAGAGATCCGTCTTGCGCCAGACGTACGCTGGGCCTCGTTGCGGCGCAGGAAGCGCTCCCACTCCGCGTCAGGCCAGCTGGGAAGAATCTCCTGGCGGAGTTGTTTAGGCTTTATGCTTCAGGGTCTTTAGGGTTTAGGATTTAAGGTTCAGGGTTTAGGGCTCAGGGTTTAGGACTCGCGATGTTTTGGGATGAGATCACACAGGTCTTGTCACGGCTTAAGATTTGAAGGGGTTGAAGACTAGGATCTTCCCAAGAATAATACATTGCTTACTTTTTCTTACGTTATATGGCTTAGGGCTTAGGATCTTCTGGGTAACCCGGCCTTTAGTAGGGACCCGAACATAATATTATGAAAATCAGATAACGCCTCCGGGGGACTGCTGGCGGCAGGAATTGCGAGCAGGACACTCCGGAGCTCAGGGGGGTTTCAGGGTCTTTCGCGCATACTACCCCGCGGCCTTGGGGTCCTGGCCAGCCTCCTCTTGACATTAAGAATAGACTGGGTTGTAGTTTTGGGGCCCTGAAAACGTCTACAGAAATCATAAGGGAAATGTTAAAGTTTCCCCAATTCCCACCTAGACTAGAATGGATCACTGCAATCATACCCCCTAAAGGACACAACATCCTGCGAGAGAAACAAAGACTGGGTTGTAGTTTTGGGGCCCTGGAAAGTATTTAGGAATAGGTACCTCAACAGAAACCATAAGCAAAATCTTAAAGTTTCCCAAATTGCCACCTAGAAGAGCACTTGGGTTTAGGGCTTATAGGGGCCCTCAGTGTGCCTCAAAGCCCCTAAGGCTCCCACCCTAAACCCTAAACCCTAAACCCTAAACCCTAAACCCTAAACCCGAAACCCTAAACCCTAAACCCTGAACCCCAAAACCCTAAACCCTAAACCCACTCTCCTGCCGTAGCACCTGTGCACGCATCATCCAAGCGAGTTTGGCCGGATGCCAGTCCTGGGCTGCGGATTCACCCAGAGGTTCCATGTACCCAAATAGGGTTTAGGGTTTAGGGTTTAGGGTTTATAGGGTTTAGGGTTTAGGGTTTAGGGTTTATAGGGTTTATAGGGTTTAGGGTTTAGGGTTTAAGGGTATATACTTTGGCCCCAAAGTACCTATATAGAGACTACTTTAGGGACAAAGTATATACTATTTTGGGCACATGGACCCTTGGGGTAATGGATGATGGGGGATTGGGGCAATTCTACAGCAAGGTCCCTAGTTGGAGTTGTAAGCGATTGGAACTGTAGTCAGCTTCTTGTTTACCCTAGACTTATAGAGTTACAAAGTGCCATGATCGTCCAAAGAGCGTGCCTAAATAGGGGTCGTCACATATCTTGGGCCAATATCGACTCCATGCAATATTTAGCTAAATAAACGAGACACTAGTAAACTGCATAGCATCGAAAACAACAACTCCGGGGTGCTCTCAAGAGTCTTGCGAGGCTCCCAAGGCCAAAAGGAAACACTTGAACCCCTGAAACCAAAACACACACACACACACGCACACACATCCCTCAATCCCCGGAGCGCATCAAGCCTCAAACCCTGGAACCTACTTTAGCACCCTTGTCGTTTCGGGTTGAGGATGGTCGGTAGAAACTTGGAAAAGACAAGACAACCTCTCAGCACCACCTTCGAATCCCACAAGCCTCCATGAAACACAAGTCCCAACCCGTAAACAAAGGAAAAACATGACAACCCATGATCACTACACTCAGCGCATGGCGGTTCGAAGAAGCACCGACAGGTCCGCAACATACGGAGCCAAACCTCCCCGGTAAGACCGGGACAGGTCACAATGCATGACTGGGTTGTAGTTTTGGGGCCCTGAAAAGCATTTATGACTAGATACCTCTACAGAAACCATATAAGGGAAATCCTAAACTTTCCCAAATTGCCACCTAGATGAGGTGCAGGAGGGGCGGCCAAGGTATTACATTCCAGTACGTTCTATCCTGAGCACTTTCGTCGACCACTGGGCCGCGGATTGCGGGAAACAGAAGCGTCGTCGGGTCTTTTCAAAGAGGGTGCTGCGAGCAGAGGGTTTTGGAGTCCGCGCAGCTGATTTTTCTGAAGTCTTCCCTAAGGGTCCATGTACCCAAATAGTAGAACATTGGCCTTAATGTAGTCCCTATATGGGTACTTTAGGGCCAATGTTCTACTATTTGGGGACATGGACCCTTAGGGCTTGCTAGGGACGATGCTTTGGCTCTGTGCGCCCAGACCGTCTTGAAAAATCGTTGACGCCAAACCCGAAGTTGAAAGCTCTTGGAACCCTTTTTCACGCTTCTTGTCCTGCACTTTCAGAATTTCGTGTGATGCAATACCCTATAAGTCCTTTGAGGAAGCTGATTGGCTCGTAGCACCTAGTCAAGAACCTATTTACATCCGTGAAGAGCCTCTGTCATAGCTCTATTTGCCCCACAAAGAGGAGTAGTTAAACAACACATGTCCAACTTCTGCACCAGCTGGACTGCGCCGTAGAATTGATACGAAAGGAAACATCGCATTTCCCTGCAGAGCATGCTGCATGGAAGCTTGTGCAAATGCAATAAGACATCTTGGCTCCACAGAAGCCTAGCCTAGCATGGCTTACCCTTTCCAAACAAAGCAATTGGACACATAAGGGCATACCAACCTATTCTCTGTAATCTCTACTGAGACTCTACTGATACAGAAAAACCTCCACCGAAGGGGCACTGCTGAAGCCGGAGGCTTGGGGGCTCAGAAACACTCCATCGTCGCCAGGCATGTATGTATGTATGTATGTATGTATGTATGTATGTAAGAATGTATGTATGTCTGCACTGTGCGTAAACAAATAAATAAGTTAGTAAATAAATAAATATATATATATATATATATATGTATTTGTACCACTCTGTATATGTATATATATATGTAGAGAGAGAGACAGATAACAACAAAACAAACTGGCATATGTATTTGACCAGCAGATACGCAGACATACATGCATGCATACATGCTTACATGCATGCATACATACATACACACATACCTACGTAGGTACCGCGGAAAGATGTGCCGAGCGCAGTACAATAACGAAAAGACTGAGACAGTTGTTGCCATGATACTCTTGATAGTGCTTTCTCTCCGGCATTTGTAATGCTACCTGCCTCGGTCCTGGCTACTACGCATTACCAAAAGCATGCGTCAGGATGGTAGTGCGTTGACGTAACACGCAAAAGCCCTGCAACATCGAAGCTACAAACCCTGAGCTCTAAACATGACTCCCTGTTACGTGAACTCTTACAGTGAACTTCAGAAAGTTTGAACGTGGGATAAGCAGCTAATAACTAATAAGCATCACTAGGGCAAGGAGTTGCTATGCTTTACACAAAGGGCATGCGGAGAGTTATACTCCAAGTTCTACGAAAAGTCGAATACCTTAATCTTAAACCCCAAAGCCTGAACCGTAAATCTCAAACCATATCAAGGCATATCGCCAAACACCAACCCCCAAGCTCCAAAACCCCTATATAACCCATTTATCCTGAAGATTCAGCTGCAGGAACCCGTCTCGCGGCCTGCATCATTCCAAGCGCCAATACACCAAATGGAGGGATCCTTCAGGGCGTAGCAGCTTGAGGTTTAGGCAACTTGACATGAAGCAGCACAGCACTGCTATCACAATCTAAAGCACCACTACTGCTCATGCACAAGGCCTCTGCTAAACCTTTCAGGGAGCCCGAACCACAAGATTCCAGACTCTGGGCAATGCAGGATATTTGCCTGTCATTGGCGTGATAGGACGTACTTGTCCATGCCAGGTACTTGTAGGCAGAGAGTTCTGATGGCTGAAACACAACATCAGATGCGAACATCACTCCGAAAATTCTCTCTGAGCCTCTTGCAGAGGCACCCAAAGGCCCAAACCGTTCTGAAACCATTACTGCGTAGGGACCCCGACGAAGGGTCCTGGTCCATGAGCGGTCCGAGCTGAGAAAAGAATCCGATCGCATCCGACGACAGCTGGGCGCCCTGTTCAGAAACAACGAAAGGTCGATTTCGGGTTCGGGGGTTTGTTTGGGAATTTAGTGCTTATACCTAGAGTAGGTATCCCTTCTTTACAACTGCCCACACCATTCTTCTACAACTTCTGGCGTCAGTGCGACTGCCTGCAATGCTTGGCATGCCAATTTTTCCATTCAGTGAATCAACACGCTGCCCAACCCGCATCTCTCCATCCCAATTCCTTGCTTGAAAGTCTCAGGCTCTAGACTGATTTTGCTGGAACCATATATCAAATCAACATGGAAAATACCTGCAGTAAGATACCGCAGAGTGTTCTGGGACCCCAGGCTGCTCTCGAGGGGCTCAGATCCCAGAAAACGCAATCCGCCACCATCGCAGACCTGGACACCCCAAAGCAATTGCTCCCTAGTCCCGAAATCCTATAAAAGCCGTGCTGGCCGTGAACATGATGCCACAAGCACTCCAACGATGGAGTTCAAACTCCCATGAGGAGTCTGGAAGAGTTATACACAGATCTTGATTGAAACCCAAAACCTGGGTGACCGAGGCATCTTTCAACCACGAAGTGCCATGCACTCGCCCGCAGCTACATGTGCTGCCCTGAAGAACACTCTTCCTGACTGCCGAAACCCCCATGAAACTCCCCTAAACCCTGTCCTGAACCGCGGAAAAACCTAAGCCCTGAAACCTTGAACCCTAAACCCCGAAACCCTGAAACTCTGAAGCCTTACCAACACCCAAGGGACATGAAGCTCTGAAACCCCGAAAGCCTAAACCCCTAGACGCCTCGTGCACGACCAGAAGACTGCTGCTGTTCCGGGTACTCAAAGCTGCCGTAAGCACTTCCCGAAGATGCCTCAAGCTGTCAGGGCTTGGGGGATTTGGGGTTTTAGGGGCTCTGGGGATTATAGGGGTTATATACGGGTTTGGGGGTTCAGGGACACACTTCCAAATGAACGTCCCCAGTGGTAGACACGTGAGACATCCATTTTTGGGGGTTTAGGGGTTATAGGCTACAGGGGTTATATACGGGTTTGGGGGTTTAGGGGTTATAGGCTGCAGGCGTTATATACGGGTGGGGGGGTTCAGGGGTTATAGGCTGCAGGGGTTATATACGGGTTTGGGGGTTTTGGGGTTTAGGGTTTAAGGTTTATAAGGGCTTGGGGTTTATGCTTTGGGGTTCGGGGTTCAGGTTTTAGGGGTGTAGGGCCCAGTTCTGACGGCTTCGCCTTTGGCGTAAGGCAAAGTACCTGTTTGGTCGCAATGGATGCTATCGGGCTTTTTTCGGTTACCTGCATACTGGATTTAATTAATGGTTTTGATTTAGTGTGGGTCTTATACGAACTAGAAGCTGGTATTATTCACGTCTAGGTAGGAAACATATAGGGACTAAAAGAAACGTTATTCCTGATTGTTGGGTGCCTTTCTGGAGGACGGGGTTATCGCTAAACCAAGAGTGCTTTCCTCTTTGTGTTGGCGGCTCTGCCCTCGAGGCAGATCAATGCAGATCAATGCCTGATATGATGGATGGTTCACGTGGCCCCTACAGTACACCCCAATTAAACCCTGAAATTCCTAAAAGGCCCGAAACCCCAAACTTCAAACCCTAAACCCTCAAACCCCTAAACACCACTTCTTGATTGCGGTTTCGGGCTCCGGGGCGTGCATTCTCGGCACTGAACGCTGAGTCGCATGGTCTTGGGGTGCTCTGGTGCAAAAAACCGACAACCGAAGATTCAGCGTGCCAAACTTCGTTAAATCGCGAGATGTGGTTCAAGGTTTGGGGTTTCAGTGTTCGCGGTGTTCAGGTTCCCGGGGTTGTTTGTCGAATGGCCCTTGGCCAAACTCCGGCTACAGTAGTTATGTTAGGGACTCTGCATCGAAGGTTTAGACCTGCAGGTGTAGGGTTTTGCAGTCTAAGTCCATAGTGACTATTCTGAGGGGACTCTTTTGCCACGTCTTGCGACGCCTATAGTATTGGAGCCATGACAACAGGAGTTCGAAGGTCGAATCTGACAACAAAACTACCGTGACATCGGATGGCAACAGGGGAAACCACAAACCCCCCCCAAAAAAAAGCACGCAAACCGTCAAACCTGCGAAATCGCAGCAGGCACTGGAAAACATCATACAAAAAACACCCCGAGCAATGCATTCTTCCCAACCCTAAACACTAAACCCTAAACCCTATAAACCCTAAACCCTAAACCCTAAACCCTATAAGCCCCAAGCCCTAAACCCCAAATGACTCAACCCTAAACCCTAAAACCCTAAAACCTTAAACCCCTAAACCCTAAACCCAATGACTCAAGACCCGGCGGCTCCCTAAGAAGCTAACATCTTGAACCGAACACGCACGCACCCGGGCCTTGAGCTTCTCATTTCTAAAACCTCAAAGCCTACCATGGAGCCTAAAACGTACGTCCTACCCATAGGCCCCATAGTAGTTCCTTTTTGGGGCGAACCAAACTTATATTAAGGATCCTAAAAGATAACCCCAAAAAAAGAAACTACAATAGAGACTCTAGGTAAACCCTAAACCCAAAAAACCGACGATAACTCCACGTACCCTTCCCACCGGTCTGAAGCCCGGACTGCGTCTCGCGCGCCGAATCGTGGAGGGTCTTGGAGCGGCCTGGATGTTTGCGGAGGAGTGTTCAGGGTTTACCTGGGCCCTGAAAGTATGTAGAATAGTAGCCGTTTTATGGGCTTTGGACCCTGGAAGCATGTAGAATAATAGCCATTTTAGGGGTTTTGGACCTATCTAGAATAACAGGCCTTTATGGGTTTTGGACCTGAAAGTATGTAGAATTACAGCCGGTTATGGTTTTGGACCTGAAAATATTCAGAATAATAGCCCTTTTTATGGGTTTCGGGCCTGAAAGTACTTGGTACAACGATAGCCCTTTTTATGGTTTTGCGCCTGCGAGTCTTTGGAATAAGAACAGCCCTTTTTGTGGGTTTTCGCCTTTATTTCCCCCAAACCCTAAACCCCTAAACCACTATGTAAACCCTACAACCCTAAACCCCTAAACGCTAAAACCCTAAAACCCGAAACCACTAAACCCTGAACCCTAAACCCTAAACCCCTAACCCTAAATCCTAAACTCCTACAACCCTAAACCCCTAAACCCTAAACCCTAAACTCCTAAACCCCTAAACCCTAAACAGGCGTTTAGGTAGGGAGGAAGATTTGAGGTCTGAAGCTTCGGGACGGGTTGCGGGCATTTGGGTTTTGCAGCTCTGGGTCTTGGGGTTGTGGGACTTAGAGACTACAGAGGTTTAGGGTTTAGGGCTTAGGAGGCTCAAGTTTTAGGGTTTGGTGTTTGGGAGGTTCAAGATTTGGAGGTTTAGGGTTTAGGAGGTGCACGATTTAGGGTTTAGGGTTTAGGAGATTCAGGATTTAGGGCCTAGCTTACGAAAAAATCATACTACATGAAGGATTCAGTCTTAGGCTGTCAAGTGCAAACAGTCGGGCGCAGGGCTTAGACAACAAGGTCACCACGACGGAACCCTAACCCCCCAGGTACCTACTATATAGGGCCTTAGGGGCTCTAGTACCCTATATAGTGGTCCCTGGGAGGCTAATCATCGTCAGCCACAGCTGCGGCAGTGGCAAGCAAGCATGGGATGTAAGTACATGAAAGCCGCGACAAGTACTTAGGCGGCAGAATCAGCTGGGGTAGAATAGAATGCAGTGCCAAAAACGATCAAAACAGCAACAACGGATAGCTATAGAGCTCGGGGTTATTCACCAGTGTGGGTTGGACCACTAAACCCTCAACTCCACAGCCGGATCCCCTAAACCCCAAAACCCGTAACCCTCGACTCCGAACCCTTAGCGCTGCACCCATCAACGGTTTAGGGTTTAGGGGTTTAGGGTTTTAGGGGTTTAGGGGTTTTTAGTGGTTTAGGGTTTAGGGTGTCCGGTTTAGGGTTTCGGGTTTACGTGCCGTAATTCTAAATTCTCAGCCCCTGAATCTGAAGCGGGCCCTTCTCTGCTAGAAGCCTCGCAGGACAGGCTTCGTCTGAGCCTGAAAGGGACTCCGGGAAGCCCGGGTTTCGAGTTTCAGGGTTTCGGATGAGAGGGTTTAGGGTTTAGGGTTTAAGGGTTAAGGGTTTCGAGTCTCAGGGTTTCGGATGAGAGGGTTTAGGGTTTAGGGTTAAAGGGTCAAGGGTTACGGGTTTCGAGTTTCAGGGTTTCGGATGAGATCCCCAAAACTTAAAGCTGCACTCTTTCTCCCAAGCCAGAAAACATTTTTAAGTGCTAGAAGAGGGATCCCGGGGGGGGTTTATCCTCGCTGGGTGTTCGACGATTTCCCCCCACGTACGCGCATCTCGGCATGCTGCATCTAAAAGTCTGATATCAGATCCAGAAATGCCTTGCCTTGGTTTTCAGTAGGAGATCAGATCTAGGACTAGGTACAGACTTCAATAAGGATGGATGGTTTCGGAGTGTTTAGGTTTAAGGACTAGGCGAAACTCGGCTCAGTTAGACTCACAAGCTGGAAAAGAACACTCCTCAAGTATCCAATGTTGTGGCTCTTGAATAGTTATAGCAATAGTGGTAGTTAGTTATAGAACAACGACCCCCAACAATGTAATGTTGAAGTCTTCTGGCCCCTGTTGTTGTCCAGGCTTTCAGCATCTTAGTCCAAAGGCCTGCTGTGCCCCAAAACTCCCTAAACCTTAAGCCCTCAACCCTCAACCTTAAACCCTAAACCATCCTAAACCTAACATGCCCTCAACCCTAAACCCAGAACCCTAAACCCAAAACCCTAAACCTTGAACCTTAAACCCTACAAACCTTAAAGCTGAAACCTTCATTATCCGACCTGAGGCCCTTTTATTTGGGTTTCGGCGCTTTGGAGATTTCCGGTTCCGGGATTGAGGCTTAAGGAGTGGTGGGCGTGGGCAGCTGTGTTTAGAGCTTAGGGTTTAGAACTTAGGGCTTATTAGGCTTTTGATGGCTTAGGGCTTTAGGGCTTTAGGGTTTAGGGTTTTAGGCTTTTAGGGCTTTAGGGTTTTAGGGGGTTTAGGGCTTAGGTAGGGCTTAGGGTTCAGGGCTTAGGGTGTTGGGGCTATGTAGTTGCAGTGACATATAACCCGAAGTAGCATACTTAAAACCTTACTAGGCAGCTGACTTGGAGGTTCTTATAACCCGAATTAGGCTTCCTTTGACCTTACTTACCAAGCCCTCTGATCCTTCCAGATCGGATTGAGCTTGAGGATCTAGTAGTTAGGATTAAGGGGGACCCTTGGGGATATAGACCCTCTCAATAAGGTCCCTCTTTAACAGAGCCCGAAGCAGGGTTAAGAAGGGTCCCCTTTAAGGGGTCTCCCATCTAGTACGTAAGGCCTAGGGCCGTAGAACTTCCCGCTGCCTGCACAGTGAGGGCTGCTTCTGGAAAGTCTTCCTGGCCATGAGCAAGGGTTCATACAAACTAAACCTGGGTTGTAGTTTTGGGGCCCTGAAAAGTATTTATGAAAAGGTACCTCTACAGAAACCATAAGGGAAATTCTAGGGCTTCCCAAATTGCCATCTAGTAACCGCCTCACTGGATCTCAGGGATTTTGATCATGATGGTGAGGCAGAGGGAATTCCAGCGTTAATCATCCTAAATCCATGTTCCAACTTGCTTCACCATGGGTATAGTTCCAGGCGACAGTTCGAGAGAGATTTCGGACCGTCACGCTTGCCTTCATCTCCCTGAAAGCCAATCCCTAAGGGTCCATGTACCCAAATAGTAGAACATTGGCCTTAATGTAGTCCCTATATGGGTACTTTAGGGCCAATGTTCTACTATTTGGGTACATGGACCCTTATGGGAATGTGCATCTGAGCCTTTACTTGCCCCCATAACATAGAGGTCTAAGAGATAAGAAGGCCTCTCCTGGCCCGAGTTTCCGTGAAACTTATACTTTCAATACTTCCCCAAGGCCCTACTCGAATTCTTGGGGCCCCATTGCTCTAGGCGTTAAACCGTTACACCTTAAACAACCGTAAAACAACACACCCTGGAGTCCTTTAAACCCCCTAGCCCTAAACCCTAAAACCCTAAACCCTAAACCCTAAACCCTAAAACCCTAAACCCTAAACCCTAAACCCTAAACCCTAAAACCCTAAAACCCTAAACTCTAAACCCTGTAAGCCTGAAGCAGCTGCCGCGACGGCTCGACCTGGCACAGAGGCGAGAGACCCAGGTTCGCTGGGAGGCTGAAGGACTCGTACTTGGAGGTTCATGGGTAGTTACAAGTGGGTTTAGGGTTTAGGGTTTAGGGTTTAGGTTTTAAGTGGGGATATAAGGGGTTCCTTTAAGGGTTCCTTTAAAGGGTTCTATAGGGTTTAGGGTTTAGGGTTTATGGGGTAGTTATAAGTGGGGGTTATAAGTAGGGTAACTATACTTATAATCCATATTAGGGGACTTATAACCCTACTTATAACTACCCATGAACCTCCAAGTAGTTGCTTCTATGCATGTATGATGCATGCAAATATACACTAGTCGCAAACGAATATGTATGCTATACATATACATATATATATATATATAAGAATATACGGTTAGAATATACATACGAATATATACCAGAGAAGGAGTCTTCGATCGAAGAATCAGGTACGTTGGAAGACAGATTCCGCCGCTTCAAATATAATCGAGAGCCTAAAGCAAGCGGAATGGAACCATCCTCACACAGCACTCTCAGGAGTTGAACGCTAGGCCTCATGCCCTGAGCCCTATAAGCACAAAACCTTCAGTTGGGTAGTTGTCAAAACTAGGGTCCCTTTCGGGGTACCCTAAATAATAGGTGCCGTATTATAATAAGGACCCAAAAAGGGACCATCATTTTGACAACCACCCAGTTCTAAGCAAGAACCCCGGAGCTTACACCGCACACGAGTGGAAGTGGAACAACAGTTATGAAACAGGTGCACATACAGGGCTTGTGCAGATCATATAGCGATGCCAATAGCAACCTGGCCCAGAAGATCATGCAAGCAGCTGCAAGGCACAGTGCAAGACGGGACTCTCAACATTACAGGCTACAACAGAACAGAAGCAGAAACTTGATGTGCTTCTGCGGGTTTTGAGCTGCGTGACTTCAAAGGATCAGGAACTTGAACTTTTGGTTCAGGAACTTGCCGTTCAGGGTTTTACGGCCGAGGGTCCAATAATGAAAGGCCGGTATTCTACAGATGCAGGTTACCCTTCCGGCTCGGAATGCGCGGTTGTTATTAGTGTCAGCATGCTACGCCCTAAACCCTAAACGCAACCCTCCAAACCCTGTCAACCCCTACATCCCTATAATCCCTATAATCATTATAATCCCCAACCCTAGACCTTTGCGCGTATTTTTCCTGTTCGGCTTTCTTGGTCGAGCCGTCCTGAGATTTCTTCCCGATCCTCAGAGCTTTCCACCAGGGCTCCTGCCGACAAGACGTAATGTTTTGGTATGTATAAGGTGTGTGTGTGTGTATATGTGTATATATATGTCATAATATACATGTATAAATTTAAATAAGTGATATATCATAATATGTATATATATATATATGTTTTAAAATGCATGAGGGTTCTTCTGGCCTGTTCGGGCCTGCTAGGGTTTAGGGCTGAGGCTTTGGAGTTCAGGGTTTCTGTACATTCGCGAGCTCCGATGCGAATCCTTGACGAGAAAATTGATCAACAAACACCTCTCGAAGCCCAAACCCTAAACCTTAAACCACCCTAAACCCTATAAACCCTAAACCCTAAACCCTAAACCCTAAACCCTAAACCCTAAACCCTAAACCCAAATCAGGACACCATGATGAGCCAAGGCTGTGTCAGATCACCGGTCTTTCCCCTCAGGTCCTAGGGGTTGGCACTTCTTGCGTCCATAGTAGGCGTTGGTTCTGGGGTTCGTGGTTAGCTTTAAGGATGGGGAGGAATACAAAACTCAAATGCATGAAAGCAGGCAAGTCCTTCGGCTCTTTGCGGAGCTCCGTCGGCTTCGGTCGTTGCCAGGGCAGGCGGAAGCGGGGTGCAGGAGCCTGCGAAACAACTCGGGTTTAGGGTTTAGGGCTTTGGGTTTCGGGAGTTCTGGCGTGTCTGTCTCTTGGTGCGGGTCGTGTAGAGTTTAGTTTAGGAGCTTGAGGTCACAGGGGGCACGCCTCAGCAGATGCCTTGCGAACACGAAGGCTGCCACCACTATCAAAACGCGACCATGATGATCAGACTATCATTCAGAGCTGGTGGTGAACAGCGCTAGACGATGATAACGGCGATAGCGAAGGAAACCATGCTGTAGATTATGTTGCGTTTCTAAGTGCACCGGCACTTTGTGAGTTTTCAGATACCAACTTTTTGGAGTTGAGGGTGTTGGGACTTGACGGCAGGAAGTAGGATGTAACTCTCTACTGTAGGGGCCTTAATACTTAGAATAGGGTTGTGGGGGTTCCTTATGATACTAGAAGTATAATAAGGAACCCCCACAACCCTATTCTAATTATTAAGGCCCCTACATTACAAGGATTGTTGAATGCACACCTTGAGTCCTTGGTACTACCGAAGGGGGGGTCTGCTCAGGTAGGTAGTTTCTCGAAAATGTGGCACCACATAGTTCTTTAACGGAATGGAAAAGGCTGGACTGTCTGTGACACTAGCTTCCCTCAGATACCATACTAAATATCTAACATATGTGATATATGATTCGCGACGGCTACTCATACGACTACTACTTCTACAACTACTGATTATAATTTTGTATTTATCATCTTCTTCTCATTTTGGTGCATGTGCTTTCAGCTTCGTCAGTGTCGCATTGCCACTGCCAAGTGCATTTCTATCCACACTGGCCGCACCCGTGTTGCCGAATCGAAATCTGCGTGCGATCTCCGCTACCCCTAAACCCTAAACCCGTAATATGGAAGTGCAGTTCCGGCCCTAAACCCTAAACCCTAAGCCTCTTCCACTGTGTCGCTGCGGCTACGCAGCTGCCACATCCTGACAGGCACTCAGACGCAGGAAGAGATTTGCTAGGAGTACGCTACGAGTTGAAGGGGCTTCGAGGGTTTGTCCGGGGTTGTATATGGGTAGTTTTCTAAACTAGGGTCCTTGTTATAAGGGTGCCGTACTATATTGGGGACCCAAAAAAGGACCCCAATTTTGAAGACTACCCATATTCGTCTTTGCACGATGTCCACACATGGCCGTGACGAGTGAAGACTGACCTTATCAACGCTATACCCGAGACCAGGCCCACCACTTCGACACCTCATACCTTAAGAACCCAATTCACGTCCAACCCCTGTATCCAGCAGCCTGAAATTCTGTTCTCTAGGCCCAAAACTGAAACCATAAACTTCTCAACCCCAAACTTTTAGGCGCCTTAAGCATTCGAATTGGGTTTTGGGGCTCATTATACTGTAATTATAATAAGCAACCCCCAAAAGATTCCAAAGAGCCCTTCTTGTACCCTACCAGCACCCTGAAGAACAGTAACAGAACCCTTGTAGAGTTGCGGCCTCCACGACTTCAGCAGCCGATGTGCCTGCCACTGCAAATCGTGCAGAGCCGTGCCGAGCACCTGACTCAGATTGCTATCCCCGAACCCCCTAGGTACCTACTATATAGGGTACTAGAGCCCCTAGGGCCCGATATACTAGGTACCTGGGCGGTTAGGGATCCAAACCTTGGAATGAAGGAGTATTGACGAAGTAAACTGACCGCAGTTCTACAAACACACACACACACAGAACCGCCCATTTTCTAGAGGAGTGGCTACTCGAGCAGTAACGATAGTGACACCCGAAGCAAAGGAAACTGTTCCGTGAGATCACGAACTTCTAGCACCCTGATGCCAATGATGCTGTTCCAGGCTATGTAGGTCTCTAGGATTCGGGGATGCAAGGCTATCAGCTTCAAGTTGCAGTTCGTGGCGGTGTACCCCGTTCATCGCAAGTCAACTCCAACACCCTTCATTGCACCCCCACCCCGCAAGCTTCCAACTCTTAACCCCTGAAGCCATCACGCCTCAAACTAAGCTCCGTGAACCCTAAAAATTCTCCTTCTGTCAGTTGACCTCACCAAGATGACGAAGCAGGCGCCAGGCGCTGCGGCCTGACTTTGGCCCCGAAGGAAGTCGGTGAAAGCTTCGGGGCACTAAAGGGCGTGCTGCTGTGCTCACGCCATAGCTGGTACTGCCGTTGATGCAGTTGCTGTCGTTGCTGTTGCTGGCCAGTTTGCGTGTCGGGACTTTGTAGGGCTTCAGCCTCACGGCCCATAAGCGGGGACCTGGTATCTGGCGACATAGAACATTCTGGGCATCTTACAAAGTCGCATGGAATCCATGCAATTTGCCGGACGTGTGGGGCTGGCCGAAGCTCTATACTGTATAGGAGTCTGATAGGGTTGCCTAAAACATCATGGGACTTAGTAAAGGGTTTTTCAAGGGATTCTACGAGGGCTGTCTATAAGTCTATTTGTCTAAAAGGGTCTAGGGATGCTTAAGGCCACAGCATCAGGGGACTTCGCAACGCGGCTGAAAAAGTCTGTACATGGCCAGGCCCTGCATCTACGCACTCTTACACCCTACGTACCTACTATTGAGGGCCCTCTTTTAGGATACAAAGAGGGTCCTGGTGCCTGGCAAGGCGATGATGTTCCAGAGGACCACCGGCCAGTCCTGGCATGCTCTCATGGCACAGCCAGGTGCATCAGTCACCAGATATGCAGATACCACTGTATGAACAACAACAACCGCCATCGTAACCGCAAACAACAACAAACGGCGAACAACTAACAAACACCAACGAACAACAAGCAACGATCAACACCAAACAACCAACCAGCAGCAAGCAGCACGCAACAAACACCAAGCAATTGACAACAAACAACGTGCACCAAACGATAAACGACAAACAACAAATTACAGGACCGGATAACCCCACATGCGAATTTTAGTGAAGGGGCAGTGAGAGCAAGTGAGCCAAAGGTATAAGCGAGAAAACAGGCCAGCAAAAGCTGTGTGTGTACTTTGTGCGTGTGTTGTGTGTGTGTGTGTGTGTGTTATGTGCGTGTTGGTGTGTGTGTGTGTGTGTGTGGGTGGGTGCGTGTGTGGTGTGTGTGTGTGTGTATGTGTAATGTGTGGTGTGTGTGTGTGTTGTGTGTGTGTGTGTGTTGTGTGTGTTGTGTGTTGTCTGTGTTGTGTGTAGTGCTGCACAGGGCTGTCCTCTTCTGATATGAGAACATGTGTGTGAGTGCTCCGGAACTGGCGCCATCCGCTGTTTTCGCCACAACAGCAAGCTGAAGTGACTCTCTCCACCGCGCGGAAGGTGGAAACCCTACTGCCTACCCTGTAGACAATGCCGTAGATAGTAGCTGGGTCCAGGAATTGGGACCTGGCAGACCAGACCGGCTTAGTTCGTCTGGAAACACATGGCTCGCAAGTGGGACCAACCCTGACAGTTAGAAGGGAGAGCCTGGTTGGGGCCTCTGAGAAACAAGGTTGGGACCCACAGCCTGTTCCGATGCTTCCGCTAGCTGCGCGGCCGTCTGATCTGTGGCGGCTACAACAACGACAACGACAACGACAACGACAACGACAACAACAACAACAACAACAACAACAACAACACCAACAGCAGCAGCAGCAGCAGCAGCAGCAGCAGCAGCAGCAACAACAAC